TTTTGGTTTTCCCCCCTATTTTCCATCCGTATGTCTTTCGACGATCTTTCGCCGTTTTCGTTGAATTTCATTTTTCTTGGTGATATGACCATTTTTGCTTTTCTTCCCTTTCATGGGCGCCGATGATTTCTCATCATTTCCGTCGAAATGATTCCTCTTTTGCCGAATTCGTCGATATAAAAGGTTGTAATACAATTATAAATTTGTTCTCTTAAATGTGAATTAGCATACATTCGTTACAAAATTATTATCTTTTTTTTTGACAATTTTTCTATATACGAATGTCCTGAAATTATGATACATAAATCATAAAATTACTAATATCCTTCATAATTTGATTCCACGCGTGTGTGCTAAATTAATAATACGTGTTACATACTTCATTTGAAACTGTTAAAAAATTCACACCATTTTTTTATTAACAATGTAGGGCTGTCTTTAATATCGTCCTCGAACGTGCCTGGAACAAGTGCAAATTTGTTTGTTCGTAGAAAAACATGACATATTCAATTTACAAGCACTGACCGACACCAATTCATAACATATATTATTAATTTACCACACATATGTACTCAATTTATAATATACGTTATACATTTATATTAGAAAATGTTTTTTAAAATTAGTATGAATGTCTGAACGAGACTTCTAACAAAAATGTTATAAAATTATGATATATTTTTTTTGTTTTTTAAGTGTATTTTTATCTCCTTTCTCACCGGCTCTCTCGCTCTTTCTCTCTCTCTCTCTCCATCGGGGGCGAGCGAATGTCGGTTTCGCAATTCGCGCCCACCGCGAAATTCTCCAGGAGAGAATTACACGTACTCGAGTTTCGAAAGTGCGCGCTCGTTATCGAGGCGACCCGCTCGCACGCGATACCTCGCAATTGTGCTCGGAATCGATTAAATCGCCCCCCCCCTTCCCCCCAGCGGTGCAGTAATTTAACAATTACTAATTTTGTTTAATTCGTCGTCGGTTAAGGAGCAGTGGATGGGGAACTACGTAATCATTATCTTTTCTTCTTCTTCTTTGAAACCGTCTCTCTCGTTCTGCAACCTTTTTTAACAGGAAAAGTTAATCTTTCGTAATCTGAGATTAGTTAACATTTTTTAACTTGTTCCTTCATCCTGTAATTTCTTTTTTTTTCCCCTCTCATGAGAAAAATTAATATTTCATAATTTGAGGTTAGGTCGAAATGGTTTAATTCGTTTTCTCGCCCTGTGATTTTCTTTTTAACACTAACCGTACCGACACTTCACATATACCTAACCATACCGTAACCGGTCAAATGACGATATGGTTAGGTACGGTACGGATGGACGGATAGGACCCAAAAGGATGGATAATATCCAAAAGGAAGGGTAGGGCCCAAATGGACGGATAGGACCCAAAAGGATGGATAGGGCCCACAAGGGAGGATAGGACCAAACGGATGGATAAGGCCCAAAAGGACGAATAAGACCCAAAAGGACGAATAGGACCCAAAAGGACGAATAGGACCCAAAAGGGACGAATAGGACCCAAAAGGATGCATAGGGCCCAGGTATCTCGAGATACCGCGGAACAGATCCGGCATTTCCGGGGATGCCCCGTAGAATGCCCATTTGGGTGAGCCGTGACTTTCGGATATCTGGCCACTTCCGGTTTACATGGCGAATCCCGAGGGACCCCTAAGAAAAGATTAAAATCGTTTCCCGGTACAAACCCCGATAATGTTCCCTCCACAATCGTTTCCTGGCGAGATTGTTCTCGTCTCCCCTTCGAAACATCGGAAGAACGAAATCATGAGAATGCCCCATTACAAAAAAAAAAAAAAATAAATAAAAATGTCTGATGTCCATTTCGTCTCGTCGGAAAACATCCGTGAACTTGTCCGAGACGCCATTGTTTCTTGATCGACGGGAGAGAAAGACGAGCATTGGATCATCTATTAGCTCATCACCGAGCGTTACGATTCGTCATCTCGATCGAGTCATCGAGGTCACTCGGATCGCTCTCCGGATCGATAGGGATCTACACCGGCCGCGAGATCGATCCCACCAGCAATGTCGAGCGATTCGAAGGGAAGGCCGCCGCGCGCCCCGCGTGGGCTCTTTGCCTCTCTCTCGCGCCCACTGGTCGGACACTCGCCTCCTCTCTTTCTTTCTCCACTCGCGCGGGCACCTATGCGGGCGCTCGGCGGGGAGTGCGCGCGCACCCTGCGCCGCGAGTGAGCGCGCCTGCATATATACGGGAGCGCAGGCCGCGGGTGTTCACTTTCCCGCGGGGCGGAGTACGGGTAAGTCGTGCGTAAGTATGCGCTGGCCTTTACGTGGGTACCCTACGTTGGCCAACGAGCTATCCGACGGCATTCTGTGCATTCCTCCGTGCTCTCGCGAACGAAGAAAGAGGAGGACAAGGGAAAGAGGGAAAAAAATGAACAAAGAGGAAAGGCACCTCGTATCCGGGACTGGGCAAACCTGGGGAAAGTAAGGCGAATGACTCGTTTCAGTCGTTTACTTTTCTCTTCTTTTCTGGCTTTCTTTCTTTTTCTTTTCTTCGACGGTTTACTTATGTTTCTGGATTGATGATATAACCTAATTTTAGGTTATGTTCGTCATTTTTGAGCCACGGTGGTATTAAATGTGTTCCACCTTTTAATGCGTGAATACGCACGGTGGGACTATTTGAGTCCCACACTATAAGAACACACTTAATTGAATTATTATTATTTTCCTATGTCTTTATTTTCTGCTATTTCTTTATTAACAAGAATAAACCTACCGTGTTCAATTTAAAAAGGAATAAAATTTCTGTGCAACGTCGGCCTTTCTATTTTTTTATAATTCCGTGCCTCAAAGGGTTAAACCGAGCCTGAAAAATGCCAGCAATGTCGGTTGTTGGGTTTCACCGTGGGACAGGACGAGCTCGGGAAGTGTGGGTGACACCTTGAAAAAAAAAAATTAATAAAGAAAATCCTGAGGGATTTCTGGGGCTTCGAGGTCGATCGAGGGTCCTGGGACCCGATTATCGAGTTCATACGGATTTTTTCGCAGACGAATAGATTCACATGAAAAATTTCGCACGCGAATAGATTTACTATTGTTTCTTTTTCTCAATATGGACCTTTCGAAGACTTAAATTTACATTGAATTTTTAGGAAGACTTCAGTTAGTCATCTTTAACATAATGAAATATAGATAAATAAATAAATATACATATATACTATTATAGTAAACATGATTGTTTACTGCTGATGAGGTTAAGAAACACGGCAAAGTTTCGCGCCAAGTACACGTGGACGGCTTACATATATTTATATACTTGTCAAATCCCATTTATGTCTAATAGTGCTCCTTTTAAATAGCCATGGAAAAAGCGGATCTTGGGGATGATCATCTGGGGGAAAGGAGCTAGGAATCGCGGCAATTTCAATTAAATTTCCTGGTTCAATTTGCGTTAATCACTAAAGTGATAAAAAAAGGTAAACATTGACTTTCGCTTTGGACTAATAAAATTAAAATGTCCGGTAGAGATCCGCGCCAAATACATAGACGGCTTACGCGTATTTCTCTATTTGTTAAATCCCGTTTACGCGAAAAGAAATCCGGTAGGGTTTTGCGCCAAGTACACGTGGACAGCTTACGTATATCTATATATTTGTCAAATCCCGTTTGCGTCTAATAGTGCCCCTTTTAAATAGCCATGGAATAAGCGAATCTGGGGGAAAGGAACTAGGAATCGCGGCAATTTCAATTAGTCAGACGGATGTTGGGCCCCCGAGGTTAGCTTGCTTGAAATACGGATCCTCCCGTTGCGGATTGAAAAGCCGCCGTGAGATACTTCCCATTTCCCCGTCCGAAGTGGCACTTACCTCGGCAGTGCTCTTATTTACCTCCCTGTAAATCCTCTAAAGAGACGTCGCGCCGTGTTACGATATCCTCGCGTTTAAGTGCGGTAAAGTCGGGCGCTTAAGGCGAGCGTAACGATCGTTCCGGAGGATCGTAAATCCCTTGATGGGGTTACCGGGACGTTTTAATGCCGGACATTGCCGGACTTTACGTCGACGGGAGTGTGTCCGGACACGGTGCCAGGCCCTCGAAATTCCCCCATAAAAGTCCGGCCCAAGAGAGAACGAGAGAGGGGGGAAGAGGCGCGAGAAAAAATGCACTCCCTTCTCGACCGCGATGCACTTCGCATTACTTTTTCTCTCTGTCTCTCTCTTTTTTTTCCTTTTATCCATTTAAACGGAAATATCGCCGCTCGGAGGGTGGAACGAATTTTAGGAGTATTATTTATTAGACGGGGTTGTTAGATAATTATGTTAAGTCATTCTTGAACTCGATACGTGTTTTAAATATTCATGTTAAATAAGGATGATTTGAAGAAAACGTGTTATGCATTTCGCATTAATTTTTCTGTCTTTTTTTTTTTAAATAAAAATATCGCCGCATGGAGAATGGAACGAATTTTAGGAGTATTATTTATTAGATGGTGTTGTTAGAAAATTATGTTAAATCATTCCTGAACTCGATAGGTGTTTTAAATATTCATGTTAAATAGGGATGATTTAAGGAAAACGTGTTATGCACTTCGCATTACTTTTTCTCTCTCCTTTTTTTTTTTTTTTTTAATAAAAATATCACCGCATGGAGAATGGACAGAATTTTAAGAGTATTATTTATTAGACGGTGTTGTTAGATAATTATGTTAAGTCATTCTTGAACTCGATAGTTGTTTTAAATATTCATGTTAAATAGGGATGATTTGAGGGAAACGTGTTATGCACTTCGCATTACTTTTTTTCTCCTTCTTTTTTCTTCTTATCCACTTAACTCTTTGAGGCATGGAATTTTAGAAAATAAATAGAGCCATGTTGCGCAGAAATTTTTTTTTCTTTTTAAATTGAACAAAGTTGGTTTATTTTTATTANTTTTGAAAAAAATGAAGAAAAAAAAATGTAAGTTTGTAGTTTCTTTATTCTGAAGTAATAATAAAAAGTGTTTCTTTTCTTCTTTCAGGACAGCGAGGAGGAACTGCCGGAGTGCTCCGACAGGAGCGAAGTGTGCAGCAAGGTGGACCTTTACGGAGCGCCCTGGGTCGAGAGGCAGTGCCGGTGTCCTGGGGGTCGCACTTGCCCCAGCAGCCTCCACGCTGATGACGGGCACACGATCGTCGACAAGACGCGCCAGTACAAACTCTGCGAGCCCGTTAAACGACTACCGATCTGCCGGTACTTCAAGTGAGTTTACGATTTTTTGCCTCAATTCAAAACCCGTAGAATCTGAATTCTGGCGGCACGATCTAATATCCTTAAGGTGATATGAAAGCGTGATATGTACATCACCTTAAGGTGATATGAAAGCGTGATATGTACATCACCTTAAGGTGATATGAAAGCGTGATATATACATCACCTTAACGTGATATGAAAGCGTGATATATACATCACCTTAAGGTAATATGAAATTTATATATACATCACCTTAAGGTGATATGAAATTGATATATACATCACCTTAAGGTGATATGAAACTGATATATACATCACCTTAAGGCGATATGAAAGCGTGATATATACATCACCTTAAGGTGATATGAAAGCGTGATATATACATCACCTTAAGGTGATATGAAATTGATATATACATCATCTTAACGTGATATGAAAGCGCGATACATACATCACCTTAAGGTGATATGAAAGTGTGATATATACAATACCATAAAGTCCAAATATTTATTAAACTTTCCTTCAAATAGGGTGCATCGAATTATCTAAAACTTTAACACGTGATTATGGAGGCGCTAAGAAGGAACGTGCTGCTTGTGAAATTTCATTTTTCCACAAAAATGTTGCATTTATCTCGGACGAAAGCCAAAGAATTGATATTTTTTTTCGAAAAATGAAATTCCACGGGCAGCGCGTTATTCCTTAGGGCCTCCATAATCACGTGTATGTATATATCACACTTTCATATCACCTTAAGAGGATATGAAAGTGTGATATATACATAACAAAAAGTCCAAATATTGATAAAACTTTCCTTCAAATTGGGTGCACCGAATTATCTGAAACTTTAACACGTGATTATGGAGGCGCTAAGAAAGAACGTGCTGCTTGTGAAATTTCATTTTTCCACAAAAATGTTGCATTTATCTCGCACGAGAGTAAAAAAATTGATATTTTTGTTCGAGATATGAAATTGTGTGTGTGCATGTATATATCACACTTTCATATCACCTTAATTCCACCTATCGAAGAAATAATGTCTAATTGGCGCGTTTTCAGGGACGTCACGTGGACGCTGGCGCCCGGAGGTGGGCCGGCCAATGCAACTGTGCAGCGGGTGCACTGCAGGTGCAGGCCAGGTAGCGTGCCGTACCTGGTGCGCAGACAACCCCATCGTTCGCCCGAGGGGAATCCCGGTTTCGTTTATGCTTTCGCCTGTTCACCCCAGAGCGTAAGTGTCCATTGTTAATGTAGCGATATCCTTCCTGTTGGCGAGGGTGACAATAGACTTTCCAGAAGGTCCCCCAGGGAATCCCTAATGCCCTAATTGTACTTACCGTTTATTACTTTACATCCTCGAGCCTTAAGAGGATATGAAAGAGTCAGCCTATATATATATCTGAGAAGTCAAATCGTTGGGGAAAGTATTCCCCGAATTGGGTGTACCGATTCGTTTGAAATTTTCCCACGGAAATATGGAGGCCCTAAAGTAGGTCCTGAAACACATGAAATTTCGTTTTTCATCAAAATTTTCATTTAATTTTATCGGACTTATTTCTTTTTCTCTTGACCTCGTCGCCCTGGTTTCACTTATTCTTTTCTTTCGTCGAATTTCATTATTTTATTTCCTTCCGTTGCGTCGCATTTCAATATTTCATTTTTTTTTCATTTGATCGCATTTCTTTATTTTATTTACTTCCAATTCATCGCATTTCTTCATTTTATTTACTTCCATTTGATCGCATTTCTTTATTTTATTTTCTTTCGTTTCGTCGCATTTCTTTATTTTATTTTCTTCCATTCCGTCGCATTTCAATATTTCATTTTTTTTTTCATTTAATCGCATTTCTTAATTTTATTCTCTTCCATTTCGTCGCATTTCAATATTTCATTTTTTTTCTTTCATTTGATCGCATTTCTTTATTTTATTCTCTTCCATTTCGTCGAATTTTTTTCTTCTATTTACATCCATTCCGTCGCATTTCTTTATATTATTTTCTTCCATTTCGTCGCATTTGTAACATTCATTTAATTAATATATGGAATTATCAAATTAACAGAGGCTACGGTGTCAGCACAAGGAGCCCTGCCGACTGTTCACGGTGCGGAAGAGGCGCAGCTCGCAGCTGGAGGAGGTGAACGCCTCGCCGCTTTGCCAGTGCCCGAAGGGCCACCGATGCCCCAGGAGGCACACGGACCCCGGCTCCTTGCCGGCGAGGTCCTACTCCGGGGTCCTGGAGATCAAGACCTACAGCGGCTACTGCGTGCCCGCCCACCACCCCGAGCCCGTCTACACGCTCTGAGGCTCTGTGTGCTGCGAAGGGGCGACAAAGTTGCGCCGACCACGAGGAGGTGAAGTTGCACCGACCACGAAGAGGCGATGTTGCACCGACCACGAAGAGACAACGAAATTTCGCCGACCACGAGAAGACTATAAAGTTGCGCCTACCGCGAAAAGCCGACAAAGTTGCGCCGACCACGAAAAGGTGGAAAATTGCGCCGACCACGAAAAGGTGGAAAATTGCGCCGACCGCGAAAAGGTAGAAAATTGCGCCGACCACAAAGAGGCGACAAAGTTGCGCCGACCACGAAGAGGCGATGATGCACCCACCACGAAGAGGCGATGTTGCACCGACCACGAAGAGACAACGAAATTTCGCCGACCACGAGAAGACTATAAAGTTGCGCCGACCACGAAAAGCCAATAAAGTTGCGCCGACCACAAAGAGGCGACAAAGTTGCGCCGACCAGGAAGAGGCGATGTTGTACCGACCATGAAGAGACAACGAAATTTCGCCGACCACGAGAAGACTATAAAGTTGGGCCGACCACGAAAAGCCGACAAAGTTGCGCTGACCACGAAAAGGTGGAAAATTGCGCCGACCGCGAAAAGGTAGAACATTGCGCCGACCACGAAGAGGCGATAAAGTTGCGCCGACTAAGAAGAGGCAATGTTGCACCGACCAAGAAGAGGCGACAAAGTTGCGCCGACAACGAAAAGGCGACAAAGTTGCGTCGACCACGAAGAGGCGATAAAGTTGCACCGACCACGAAGAGACGACGAAGTTGCGTCGACCACGAAGAGGCGATAAAGTTGCGCCGATCAGGAAGAAGCGACAAAGTTGCGCCGACCACGAGAAGGCGAAAAAATTGCGCGGATCACGAAAAGACAACGAAATTGCACCGACCATAAAGAGGTGAAGAAATTGCGTCGACCACGAAAAGGCGGAAAAGATGTGCCGACCAAAAAGAATGGCTGAAGTTGCACCGACCACAAAGAAGCGGAGAAGTTGCACCAACCACAAACAGGCGAAGAAGTTGCACCGACCACGAGGAGTCGAAGAAGTTGCGCAAACCCCTAGAGGGCGTAAAAATTGCGCCGACCAAGAACTCTTCGGACCGGAAGTGTTTCCACCTTGCGACCCCTTAAAAACTCAACGTGTAACTCCCAAAGGACCTTTGTGACGACCGAAAAATCCCTCCCTAGGTGTACGACCACCTTCTAGGACCTTGCAATCCCATTATTCCTCCGAAACTGCAAAAAAGTACACAGTAATTTGTGCGGTTAGGACGCCGATCGTCGATTTACGACGAGAGGTTAGGACGCGAGTCGCAGTCGTTGCGACCTCGAGTAACTCTATCCATCGCCACGTGGAGGCGCTGAGATCGAGCTCTAGAGATAGGTTAACGTGTCTTCTAACTTTTCTCCATTTTTCTATTAACGAGGACGGAAGTTTTAGCGAGGTTGCGTCAACCTCCCGATAGATGGCGTCGGGGTGGACGAACCTTAAGGGGGCGCATTCGCGTTTTTTATGGACTAGAGTCATTTTAGACTCGCCTTGTTAATAAATTCCCATCGAAGGGCCTTATAACGTTGTAATTCCTGATTTCTGGAAGAACTCTGTCTGATCGACCTCGAGCAGGACGAACTGGGTATACCTTGAAGAGCTCTATGTTACCGACCTCGCTGGTCTGTACGGTAGAGGTCTCCACCTTCCCTCGATGCGCGTTCAGACATTTACCGACATTAACGATTCGTTATTTTTTCCTTCGGTCCTCAGTTCATGTCTCGGGTTTATTAAATAACCTTAAAATTGTGTTAATCAGATCAATTTGTGCCGAAATATTGACCGAACCTTCTAGGTTAGGGAACATCTCCTTGGAAGAGGAAAACAGATTTAAATAATTATTTAAACGAATTAAAGTTAAATGAATCTCTGGCGATATTGGATCTTGGTCGAAGACGAAAGACCCACCGACATGAGTTGAGGGTTAAGGCGATGTGAAAAAGTCTTTGAGATAATTTAAGGTCCTTTAAGGTGATATGAAAGTGTCATATCATACCAAAAAATTGTAATATTAATAAAACTTTTCTTCAAACTGGATGCACCGAATCATGTGAAACTTCATCACGAGATTATGGAGGCCCTAAGGAAGAACACAATGCTCGTGAAGTTTCATTTTTCGAAAAGAAAAAAATGTGTATTTATCAAACAAGAACCAAAAAAGGCTTTATTTTTCTAAAAATGAAATTTCACGAAAATCGCGTTCTTCTTTAGGGCCTCCATAATCACGTGTTAAAGTTTCAGACAATTCAATGCACCCACGTGGAAGAAAAGTTTCGTAAACGAGACATCTTTGAGGCAACTTTAAGGTGATATGAAAGTGTCATATCATACCAAAAATTGTAATATTAATAAAACTTTTCTTCAAACTGGATGCACCGAATCATTTGAAACTTCATCACGAGATTATGGCGACCCTAAGGAAGAATGCGATGCTCGTGAAGTTTCATTTTTCGAAAAAAAAAAAAATGTGTATTTATCAAACAAAAACCAAAAAAGGCTTTATTTGTCTAAAAATGAAATTTTACGAAAATCGCGTTCTTCCTTAGGGCCTCCATAACGACGTGTTAAAGTTTCAGACAATTCAATGCACCCAGTTTGGAGAAAAGTTTAATAAATATTTTCATTTACATATATATATATATATATATACGTGCCCATAATTATGAAAGTGGTCTAAGTCAAAATTAAAAAAGAAAAGAGTTTATCAGTTATTTCACGCCATATTATTTCAAACGAAATTAATTCAATGTAATTTCGAAAGAAAAAATATATGACTTAGACCACTTTCATAATTATGGGCACATATATATATATTCATATCACCTTAACATCATCTTAATGTACGGAAAAATTTTCCTGAAACCCTTTCCCACTCGCTAAGGAAACGGGATTCCGGAAGTTGCGCTAATGGCGACGCGTGGATATTCTTTTCCGTGGGGCCGAAGAGGTCTGGCCCAAAATCGGGGTCCGCACAGGTGGCAGGGGTGGCTTTCCGTTTTCGACAGGTGAAAGGGCCCCGGGGGATGAAAAGTGGGAGGAAAGCCCTCCCAGACGCACCGCGGACCGGATGTGCCCATTGTCGGGGCCTCATCCTTCCGTTCCGGGGCCTTCCTTTGAATGGGCCCCACGGGATCGTTATACTTGCGAGAAAGGCCCACGGGATCGTTATACTTGCGAGAAAGGCCCACGGGATCGTTATACTTGCGAGAAAGAAAAGGGGGTTGGGGGGGGGGGTGTCCCTTAAGCCGAGGATGGAAGCCAGCAGGAAGAAACGCCTTACCTCGCCAGCAGGACACACAAAAGCTTTAAACGATGAGGAACGCCCTTAAGGCGATATGAAAGTGTGATATATATGCAATACCACAACGTGTAAATATTTATAAAACTTTTCGACAAATAGGGTGCACCGAATTATCTAAAACATTAACACGTGATTATGGAGACAACGAGGAAGAACGCGCTGCCAGTGAAATTTAATTTTTCGAGAAGAAAAATATGATTTTGTGGTTCTTGTCTGAGAATAAGTTTTATAAACAAAACCTCTTTGACGCCACTTTCACATCACCTTAAGCGTGTATGAAAGTGGCATCCGAAAGCTCAATCGTTCATTAAACTTTTCTACGGACTGAATGTCTCAAATCGTTTCATACTTTAAAACGTGAATGTGGAGGTCCTAAGGTAGGTCCTGAACCTCGAGAAATTACATTTTTTATTACCTATTTTTAAAAAACCAATAAACAAATTTGAAAAGAATTGAAATTCCATGAGTTTCAGGACCTTCCTTATAGTCTCCCCATTCACGTTGCAAAGTTTCAAACTATTCGGTAAACCGAGTTGGGAGAAAAGTTTTATAAACAAAACCTCTTCGACGCCACTTTCACATCACCTTAATTGCATAAATTTTACTGTAGATATTTATTTTAAGAAGCGCGCCGTGTAAACAGCATTCCTTCAGGCTATATTTATAAATATATGTATATGAACATGTAGGTAGAGATTGATACATGTATCGATTATCGATGAAATCCGCGTGCGCTATCGATGTTAGGTTTTTTTTTTAAGATTATTTTTTTTAACACTACGGCGCCGGAAGTAGTGCTTTTTTTTTTTTTTTTAATCGTCGGGACGTCTTTTTCCGAGTCTATTGTCTTGTCTTCGAAAGACGGGCCTCCCTGTAAAATACGGAATAGAAATTCTTGTCCTCTCGTTTACGTAAAAATTCGACGTTAATAATTACCGTCTACTGACTGCTATTAAGGTGAAGTGAATCCCCTTTTATTTCGCCCGACGAAAATTGATTTTAGTGAAATAATTCTTCTGCGGATTTGCGAAATATTTCTTTGGTTCAATGACATTGGTTTTTATTCTCGGTGTAGATTTGACGTCTTGCCATGTTATTATTTTTTACATTATTATTAATCACGATTATTACTGGGTTACCGAGTTACGCGCCACTGTTCTCTCTGTACATATTTACGCGATTTAGTTATCTGTACGCGCGATTAGTCTCTATCATTACAGCGTCAGTATCACTGTTATATTATTATAATATATCGACATTATTATTAATAATGTAATACGGTGGTTTGCGGCCTCACGTCGGTGACCGCGTCGGTTTGACGGCGACACGTCGCCTGTGTTTTGTATAATTTTTCTTCCTTAATTTAAATAAAGTATATCAAGATACTGTTGATAAAAAAAGACCCACGAGCTGTCTGATCTTCCGTTCTCGCTTTTGCATGCGTTTACCCACCTGGGGTCGATAAGGAAGATCGCTTCGAGGCGGGTCAATGAAGTTACAGGCGAACGCCGCGAGATGACGCCACGCGAACTCTAAGCCAACTCAATTTTACGGAACCCTGTAATATCTGTCATTACCGGCTTTTCGGTTACTGAGAGGGAAATTCATGAAGATTTCAAACAATTTTAAATGTTATTTAATGAAATCATTCGTGATTGATGAATTTGAAAATTCAGTCAATGAATTTTCATTGTCTAAATCATTATCACGTGATTATGGAGGCTCTAAGCAAGAACGCGCAGTCCGTGAAATTTCATTTTTCGAGAATAAAAAATCTTTTTTTCGTTCTTGTTCGCGACAAGTAGATTTTTTTTCAAAAAATGAAATTTCATGGGCAGCGCGTTCTTCCTTAGAGCCTACATAATCACGTGTTAATGTTTTGGATAATTTGGTGCACCCAGTTTGGAGAAAAGTTTTATAAATATTTTGACTTTTTAGTATGTATATATCATACTTCAATATCACCATAAGTACGGACGTGAGAGGGAGGAAATAATCCTTTTCTCGTTTTTTCACGATTGGAAAAAGTGAAAGAGGGACGAGGAAAAGAGAGAGGAGGGTACAAAGTCAGGAGGAATAAATGTGGAAATGAAAATCTCGCCGGGAAATGGAAAGGTCGGGGAAGAAATGGAAATTGTCGGGCGGCTTCTCCTGCCGACCTGTCGAGCCTCATAAAAAGTGCTCCGGCTTCTTAGCTTGCATCGAGGTACTTGCACCTCAGGTTGCACCCGTACTTGCAAGCGAGCTTTCGTAGAGTCTCTTTACGGCTCGCGTTGCCCGATCGCGAATTCCTGCGGGGTCGGGAAACAATTATCGCCTCGTTCAACCGAGTCAACCGAAGGATCTGGAACACGAGCAAAAGACGTACTCGAAGAGGCTCAGCAAGGAGAAATGCAGCCTGACCTCTAAATCGCGAATCTTCACTTTGAATATTGATCTCCAAATATCGAAACCGAACTTTGGATTCTCAAATCCTGACTTTGAATATTCACCTCTATATTTTATATCATGACTTTGAATATTGACCTCCTAATATAGAATACTAACTTTTAAATCCCAAATCATAACTTTGAATACTGACTTCTAAATTTTGAATCCTGACTTTCAATGCTGACCTCTAAACCGCAAATCTTGACTTCGAATATTGACCTCTAAATATCGAATCCTAACTTTTAAATCTCAAATCCTGACTTTGAATATTCACCTATAAATTTTAAATCATGACTTTGAATACTGACCTCTAAATTTTCAATCCTGACTTTGAATATTCACTTCTAAATTTGAAATCATGACTTTGAATACTGACCTCTAAATCTCGAATTTTTACTTTGAATATTGACCTGCAAAATATCGAATTCTGACTTTTTAATCTCAGTCAAAGTACACCAAAAAAAGAAAGGATTCTTTGAGACAAAGAAATATTTCTTTGGTTTAATGAGCGTTTTTTCTCAGTACAGTAACATGTTGAGTTTTACGATTAATATTTTTTAGTTCGTATCAAAACTCTTCCGGGTTTGAAATTTTGACAAAGTACAAAAAAAAAAAATAGTATTCATTGAGGCGAAGAAATATTTCTCTGGTTTAATGAGTCATTTTTCTCAGTTGAGTTTCACGATTAAGATTTTTTAGTTCGTATCAAAACGCTTCTTGGTTTGAAATTTTGACAAAGTACACCAGAAAAAAAATAGTATTCATTGAGGCAAAGAAATATTTCTCTGGTGTAATGAGTCATTTTTCTCAGTTGAGTTTCACGATTAAGATTTTTTACTTCGTATCAAAACTCTTCCGGGTTTGAAATTTTGATAAAGTAGGAAGTGACGTTTGTCGGATTGACGCGAGCAATACCGCCGGGAGAAAAATGTCCAGCTGAGCGAACTTTTTTTTCCCCCTTTCCCGGTTTTTTTTTGTCCGGTTATTAACTATCGGGGGAATCGCGGACTAATATCCTGCTATCCAATGCAGCGGCGGGGTATAAAGTGACAGAGGGATAATGAGTTATCGGATACATGACGAAGGAGGATAGCGGCAAGGATCGCGAAGGTGATGGACCGCGACGTTCCCATAGACAACTCTATACCATCCCGCGTAGCTTCCTTCCTTACCGACCCAAGAGGAGACCGCATATACGGGGTGTTCCGAAAAGTCTGCATAAATGGTCCGAAATTGCAGAATAATTTACAAACACTATATACAATTTAATTTATACATACGAAGGGTGTCCGAAAATGCACGCAAGAT